GCTTGAAGCCAGGAGGACGAGGTTGCAGTGAGCTGAGATCCTGCCCTGGGAAACAGCAAGACTCCATCTCAAGAAGAAAGCGAAAGAGAGAGAGAGAGAGAGAGAGAAGGAGGGAGGGAGGGAAGGAAGGAAAAGAAAGAAAAACAAAGAATTTGATGGAGGATTTTTGGGCATACAAGGAGAGATGGCCTTCTAAGCAGTGGCAAACGTCTACAGGGGACAAAGCCGGATGCATTTAGAAGTAACAGGAGTAAGAGGCTGGAGCTGGGAGAGTGGGACACATGAGAGGTAAATGCGGAGAGGTCAACTGGGCCGTTTACGAAGGGCCAGGGCGTTCACCCTGCAGGCAATGAGGCATGGAGGAGGCCAGGGTTGGGTCATCTTCAAGTGTTAGAAAAACACCTGCGAAATTAAAGATCACCCAGAAACTATCAACCAAGTGTGCGGTGGGCAGACCACATGCCAAGAAGGTCGCATGACATTTATTCATTAACTGCTGTGTTCACCACGGCTCTCTGAGTGTACTTTCCGTGCCAAAAAAGAACACCACACGTGGGCTAGGAGCGAGGACTTTGGATTCAGCCTGCCTGGGCTCAAATCCCAGTTCTGCCTTTTTTTTTTTTTTTTTTTTTTTGAGATGGAGTCTTGCTCTGTCATCAGGCTGGAGTGCAATGGCGCGATCTCAGCTCACCACAACCTCCGCCTCCTGGATTCAAGCAATTCTCCTGCCTCAGCCTCCCCAGTAGCTGGGACCACAGGCACGTGCCACCATGCCCAGCTATTTTTTGTATTTTTAGTAGAGAAGGGGTTTCACCATGTTGGCCAGGATGGTCTCGATCTCTTGACCTCATGATCCACCCGCCTCGGCCTCCCAAAGTGCTGGGATTACAGGCTTGAGCCACCGCGCCCGGCCCCAGTTCTGCCTTTTACCAACTGTGGGACCCTGAGCAAGGGCCTCCGCCTCCTGTTTGTTTTATCTGCAAAACGAGGGTGACGATGGGAACGTCCTCACAGGGTTGCTGTGATGATGGAATGAATTGTTATTTATATAGTGTACCACATGCTTGGGATGGCGCGCCACATACTAAGTGCTACAGAAGTGCTTGCTACTGTGTATTAGCTTGTATTAGGTTCCTGTTTGCTGCTGAAACCAATTCCCATCATCCATTATAGCAGTAGTAATGGTAATACTGTAAGAATTCTGGGCCCGGTGCGGGGGCTCATGCCTGTAATCCCAACACTGGGAGGCTCAGGCAGGTGGATCACTTGAGGCCAGGAGTTCGAGGCCAGCCTGGCCAACATGGTGAAAACCAGTGTCTACAATAAATACAAAAATTAGCTGGGTGTGGTGGCACACACCTATTGTCCCAGATACTCGGGATGCTGAGGCATGAGAACTGCTGGAACCTGGGAGGCGGAGGTTGCAGTGAGCCGAGATTGCACTATTGCACTCCAGCCTGGGTGACAAGAGTGAAATTCTGTCAAGAAGAAAGAAAGAGGGGCCGGGCACGGTGGCTCACGCCTGTAATCCTAACACTTTGGGAGGCCGAGGCGGGTGGATCACGAGGTCGATAGATCGAGACCATCCTGGTCAACATGGTGAAACCCCGTCTCTACTAAAAACACAAAAAATTAGCTGGGCGTGGTGGCGTGTGCCTGTAATCCCAGCTACTCAGGAGGCTGAGGCAGGAGAATTGCCTGAACCCAGGAGGCGGAGGTTGTGGTGAGCCGAGATCGCGCCATTGCACTCCAGCCTGGGTAACGAGAGCGAAACTCCGTCTCAAAAAAAAAAAAAAAAAAAAGAAGAAAGAAAGGAAGGAAGGAAGGGAAAGGAAGGCAGGCAGGGTTTTCTTTTTCTTTTTTTTTTTTTTTTCTGTATTTATTTGAGATCAAATCTCTCACTCTGTTGCTCCAGGCTGGGCAACAGAGCCCAACTCCGTATCAAAAAAAAAAAAAAAAAAAATTTTTTTTTTTTTTTTTTTTTTTTGCAGAGATGGGAGTCTCATGTTGTCCAGGCTGGCCTCCAACTCTTGGGCTGACGTGATCCTCCCACGTTGGCCTCCCAAAGCATTAGGCATGAACCACCGAGCCTGGCCTGATTATCCATTAAGCATAGTCTGGCTGGACACACTTCTACTGGAGCTGGTAAAAGGCCAATGGCAAACATTATTTAGGATTTCCCAGAATCTTGAGCCAAGGGGAGGGGTTGGTCTGGCAACTTAATGGATAGGGTGTTTCCCTCCAGAGAGCAAATATTCCTCGGGCAGCTGCAACGGTCTCCCTTGATCCTCTGTAGTAGGGGCCAAAACAATCCACTTACCCCTACACTAGAACACGGTCCTTTTTCTCTTTTTTTTTTTTTTTCTGAGACAGGGTCTCGCTCTGTTACCCAGGCTGGAGTACTGTGACCCAATTTTGGCTCACTGCAACCTCTCCCTCTTTGGTTCAAGCGGTTCTCCTGCCTCAGCCTCCCAAGTAGCTGGGATTACAGGTGTGCACCACCATGTCCAGCTGATTTTGTATTTTTAGTAGAAATGGGGTTTCACAGGCCATATGCGGTGGCTCACGCCTGTAATCCCAGCACTTTGGGAGGCCGAGGCAAGAGGATCACCTTAGGTCAAGAGTTCGAGACCAGCCTGACCAACAAGAAACCCCACCCTTTGCTAAAAAAAAAAAAAAAAAAAAAAAAAAAAAGAGAGAGAAAATTAACCTGTAATCCCAACTACTAGGGAGGCTGAGGTAGGAGAATCGCTTGAACCTGGGAGGCGGAGGTTGTAGTGAGCCGAGATCACGCCAGCCACTGCACTCCAGCCTGGGCAACAAGAGCAAAACTCCATGGCAAAAAAAAAAAAAAAAAAAATAGAAATGGGGTTTTACCATGTTGGCCGGGCTGGTCTTGAACTCCTGACCTCAAGCAATCCACCTGCTGTGGCCTCCCAAATTGCTGGATTACAGGTGTGAGCCATTGTGCCACAAGAGCGAGACTCTGTCTCAAAACAAAACAAAACAAAAAAAACAGATGGGGTCTCACTGTTGCTCAAACACTTGGGCTCAAACTCTTGGGCTCAGTTTTCCCGCCTCGACCTCCCAAAGTTCTGGCATTACAGGCATGAGCCACTGTGCCCAGCCTGCCGTGTGACTTCTTACTAATCCCCAATCTGGAAATGCCGCCCAAATATCTAGTGGATGTGTTACTCTATGTAGAAGCACATACTTACCAGCCTCTCCTCCAGAACAACCCTTGTTGTTGTTACATCAGTCACAAGATGTATCGCCCACAGCCACCTACAGCCAGTGGGAAGTGAGAGAACACCAGGGAGGGCTGAAAGGAGAGGTGGCTTTGGGGACAGATTTTTCTCCCACTTAAAATACTCAGAACAGGATACGTCCTCTTCCTTCGCTAGCTGTTGGTGACGTCTGGAGCAGCTGCAGCTACGCTGGGACCATGAGTCCAGCTACCAAACCTATCATTGGCACAGCTAGGGGATGTCAGAACCTGGCTCCCTAAAGTCAGCCTGCCTTGAGACTGCTTGGTTTTTGCCATAAGTCACTTTTATTTACTCTTCTTTTTCTTAGAAACAGGGTCTCACTCTGTCACCCAGCCTGGAGTGCAGCAGGGTCATTGATCATGGCTCACTGCAGACTCAAACTCCTGGGCTCAAGGGATTCCCCCCACCTCAGCCTCCCAAGTAGCTGAGACTACAGGCACGCACTACCCTGCCCAGCTAATTTTTTTTTTTTTAGAGGCAGGGTCTCACTATGTTGCCCAGGCTGGTCTCAAACTTCTAAGCTCAAGTGATCCTTTTGCCTCTGCCTTCTAAAGTGCTGGGATTACAGGGGAGCCACCATACCTAGCAAATTCTCTTTTTTCTTTGATACAGAGTCTTGCTCTGTCACCCAAGCTGGGGTGCAGTGGCACAATCTTGGCTCACTGCAACCTCCGCTTCCCAGGCGATTTTTCTGTCTCGGCCTCTGGAGTGGCTGGGATTACAAGGGCCTGCCACCACACCTGGCTAATCTTTTTTAGTAGAGATAGGGTTTCGCCATGTTGACCAGGCTAGTCTTGAACTCCTGGCCTCAAGTGATCTACCCATCTTGGCCTTTCAAAGAGCTGCGATTACAGGCATGAGCCACAGGAACCCAGCCAAATCCATCTTTTAAAAATTGCTTAATCTGACCGGGCTCAGAGGCTTACATCTGTAATCCCAGCACTTTGGGAGGCCAAAGCGGGCAAATCACAAGGTCAGGAGCTCGAGATCAGCTTGGCTAATATGGTGAAACCCCATCTCTACTAAAAAAATACAAAAATTGCCAGGCGTAGTGGTTCATGCCTGTAATCCCAGCACTTTAGGAGGCCAAGGCAGGCAGATCACGAAGTCAGGAGTTCGAGACCAGCCTGGCCAGCATGGCGAAATCCTGTCTCTACTAGAAATACAAAAAATGAGCTGGGCATGGTGGAGTGTGCTTGTAATCCCAACTACTCAGGAGGCTGAGTCAGGAGAATCGCTTGAATCCAGGAGGCAGAGGTTGCAGTGAGGTGAGACTGCACCACTGCACTCCAGCCTGGGCAATAGAGCAAGACTGTCTCAAAAACAAAACAAACACACCAAGAAAACACCAAAAATTAGCTACGCATGGTAGCAAACACCTGCAGTCCCAGCTGTTTGGGAGGCTGAGGCAGGAGAATCGCTTGAGCTGGAAAGGTGGAGGTTGCAGTGAGCCAAGATCACACCATTGCCCTCCAGCCTGGACACAGATCAAGACTCCGGATCAAAAAGAGAGAGAGAGAAAGCTGAATCCCAGGTTTGGGTGTTCTGTCCTTGTGGCTGCTGAAGGGGCCCTAGGTGAAGGCTGCAGCCACATCGGGGCAGACGGAAAGATGCCACGACTAGGACTCACAGAAGTGATGTTGAATCAGATCTTCAAAGGTGGGGACTCTGGCAGGTGACGTAGCAACAGGGTTTTGGAGGGACCGGTATAGATACACAGGAAGAGGGCCATGTTTTTGTTCCAGAACGTATATTTCGGTGGTACTGGAGCACGGAGCAGGAAGCAGAACAGTGTGACATGAGGCCGGAAAGGTGGGCGGGACCGGCCTCCAGGGGCTGCAGACGAGGCTGAGGGGCTGGGACCAGGTCCTGCAGTGGGGTCTGGGACCCTTCTGGGGCTGTGGGGAAGGGGCTGCGGTCCAGGAGGTCCAGAATAGGCTGACAATGAGCTGGCTGGAAGCCAGGGGCTTAGGGAGGCCTGGGCTCCTGGTATCAGGGTTCGCCAGCTCCACTGAGGATTCCCTACCTCTGGCACCCAGCTGTAGAGAGGACGCTGTCTTCGAGGTATCACTGGTCCCACAAAAGGTAGGGGAAGGTCTCGAGGGACCACCCCATGCCCCTGTTAATCAACCAGAAGCTTGGCCCGGAGCAGCAGGCAGGACTCCAGTAGCTGTGGGCATACAGGGTGCCAGGGCCACCACCCGGACAGCTGAGGCTGAGCCACCTAGGAACGCAGGCTTGGAGCAGACCCTCTTGGGACAGATGAGAAGGGGAGGGGGCTTCCCTAAGTTAAGCTGGTCACAGAGTGCCTACTGGACACAAGAGAAGGCAGGCCCCTCGGAGGACAGAAGGGAAGGACCACAGATTCAGAAGCTGTGAAAGTGGAGACAGGTGGACCCGGGGCAGCAGCAATGTGTGAAGTGCCAGCCCGCGCCCCTGCCCCAGCAGCCAACACGGTGCCGGCCCCCACAGAAGCTGACTGTGCAACTTCATCCAGCGCCATCAGCCGCCTTGGAGCATCAGGAGTCCAGAGGGTTGGGGTCCAGAGGCTCACAGATGCTGGGAATCTGGCTGGGGCACCTCAGCCTCAGGGGGCTGCTCAGGAACTTTCTTTTCCGAAGCGTCCACCTCCTTCTGGTCACCAGCTGGAGCTGGGACGGGTGCATCGTCTGGAAATGGAGGGAGGGAATGGTGGCACTGGACATCCCAACTCCGCCTCCCCCAGGCTCCTGGAGGCCCAGCCCCTCCTCCCTCAGACCCAGGAGTCCAGGTCCCAGCCCCTCTTCCCTCAGATCTGGGAGTCCAGGCCCCAGCTCCTCCAACCTCAGACCCTGGAATTGCAGCCCTGCAGCCCCTCCTCCCCAGGCCAGGGCCACACCTGTGTCTGGGTGGAACTTGAGCCTCCCCTCGGGGTCTGCAGCTGGAGCCTGGTGGCCTTGCTGCTGCTGCTGCTGCTGCTGCTGCTGCTGCTGCTGCTGCTGCTGCTGCTGCTTCCGCTGCTCCATGTGCAGTACAGCCTGCAGGAGGTGGGGGTCGCACAGACAAGAGGGTGTGATGCTGGCATTGCAAGTGCTCGGGCTTCAGTCCCCACACTGAGACTTCACAGCAACCTGCTAAGTGGTCACTGGCCAATCCCTTCTCCATGGGCCTCAGTTTTTCTCTTTCATTGACAGTCAGGCTTAGTAATAGTCAAGGATCCAGTTCTCCCTCCCGTCATGGCGTGGGTCCTGCACTGGGACAGGGAAGCCCTCGCCCAGCTCTGGCTGAGTCTGTTTCTTCCGCTCCTGGGCCTTTCCCTCGTCACTTACAGCCTTACTGCCCTTATTTAACATGGCAACCACAGAGCTGTCAGAGACGGGAAAGCGTCTGCCCTTACTCAATATGGCGGCAAACACTTGAGACTCCCCCAGTGATTAACATGGTGGCCACAAGCCTTCCCAGCTTCTAGACACCCATGGGTACACAGACAAGGGCAGCCAGAGACTCAGCAGATGGAAATGGAAGCAGCTTCCCCTACTGTCACCTGCTGCAGCTCTCTCTTCTGAGCTTCCAGGCGGCCCTGGGACCGCCCTAGAGCCTCTGTCTCCTGGCTCAGGCGCTGGGCCTTGGCATTCAGCTCTGCCTCCCGGGCAGCCAGCTCCTCCTCGAAACGCCGCAGCTCCTCCTCGGTGTAGGCAGGGTGCATCTCCACTGTCTGCAGGGCGGGCACAGGGGCCATCAGGGCACAGGTCTAACCTCGGCCACTCACACTGGAGAGGGCTATACCAATGTGGGAGGTGTAGAGGAGGCTGGGAGGCTGGGGCCGTGCGCGTGGGCAGAGAGGCCCAAGTGGGAGATGGGAGTGGAATACAGACCGAGAGGCAAGGCCAGGGACTGTGGCTAACCCCTGTAATCCCAGGACTTTGGGAGGCCAAAGTGGGAAGGATCGCTTGAGGCCAGGAGTTCAAGACCAGCCTGGGCAACAGAGCGAGACCCTGTCTCTATAGAAAATTAGCTGGGCATCTTGAAAAAATATATATAAATAAATAAATAAATAAAAGAGAGACCTAGATTAGCTGGAGCTGAGCCTAGGAATTCAAGGCTGCAGAGAACTATGATTACTCCACTGCACTCCAGCCTGGGTGACAGAGGAGACCCTGTCTCAAAAAATATAAATAGGCCGGGCGCGGTGGCTCAAGCCTGTAATCCCAGCACTTTGGGAGGCCGAGGCGGGTGGATCACAAGGTCAAGAGATCGAGACCATCCTGGTCAACATGGTGAAACCCTGTCTCTACGAAAAATACAAAAAATTAGCTGGGCATGGTAGTGCGTGCCTGTAATCCCAGCTACTCAGGAGGCTGAGGCAGGAGAATTGCCTGAACCCAGGAGGCGGAGGTTGCGGTGAGCCGAGATCGCGCCATTGCACTCCAGCCTGGGTAACAAGAGCGAAACTCCGTCTCAAAAAAAAAAAAAAAAAAATATATATATATATATATATATATATATATATATATATATAAATAAATAAATAAGAAGAATGACTCAGACGAGCTGGGCATGCTGGCATGTGTCTGTAGTTCCAGCTAATAGGGAGGCTCAGGCACGAGAATCACTTGAGAACAGGACTTTGAGGCTGTCATGGGCCATGATTACACCCCTGCACTCCTGCCTGGGTAGTCCCAGCACTTTGATAGGCTGAGGCAGGAGGATCATCTGAGGTCAGGAGTTCGAGACCAGCCTGGCCAAGACAGTGAAACCCCTTCTCTAAAAAAATACAAAAATAGGCCGGGCGCGGTGGCTCAAGCCTGTAATCCCAGCACTTTGGGAGGCCGAGGCGGGTGGATCACGAGGTTGAGAGATGGAGACCATCCTGGTCAACATGGTGAAACCCCGTCTCTACTAAAAATACAAAAAATTAGCTGGGCATGGTGGCGTGTGCTTGTAATCCCAGCTACTCAGGAGGCTGAGGCAGGAGAATTGCTTGAACCCAGGAGGCGGAGGTTGCGGTGAGCCAAGATCGCGCCATTGCACTCCAGCCTGGGTAACAAGAGTGAAACTCCGTCTCAAAAAAAAAAAAAAAAAAAAATTAGCCGGATGTGGTGGCACATGCCTGTAATCCCAGCTACTCAGGAGGCTGAGGTGGGAGGATCGCTTGAATCCAAGAGGTGGAGGTTGCAGTGAGCTGAGATCGTACCACTGAGCTCCAGCCTACAAGACACAGCAAGACCCCGTCTCAAAAAAAAAAAAAAAAAAAAAAAAAGAATGAAAGAAAGAAAGAAAAGAAACAAAGACCCAGAGAGGGGGGCACAGTGACCCAGGAGACTGGCTGGAGACCCAGAGGGAAAGAGAAGCGGCCTGAGACTCTGAAAGAAAGGTCGTGGCTAGAAGTTCAGGACCCCGAGCATCCCCAGGTCCTCACCTCCCAGCCCTCCCCGGCGTCCCCAAACTCCTTCCTCTGAGTGGATGCAAGGAACTCCTCCAGGGTCACGAGGCGGTCCTGGTTGGTGTCCACCTGGGGAGCCAAATAAGGGTGAGCGACAGAGCTGCGGCCCAGTCCTCGCCCCCACCTGGCACCTCCCTCACATTCTTCATCACGTGCTCCCGCATGCGCAACCGCTCCTCCTCCATCTCCCGCATGTCGTCCTCCTCATTCTTTGGGTCGTACACCTTCTCCAGCTGCAGGGACAAGCGAGAGGCAGCCGGCATTGAGGGGTCGCAGGCTAGCTCATTCCCAGCCTACTCCTTCCTCCTTAGACTCACAACCCGATAACTTCAACTCCCAGCAGTCCTTTGGGCACGCCAACATTCCTGGAAGCCAATTTTGCCCGCGGGGCTGATGGGAGTTGTAGTTTTCACTGAGCTCCCATCCAGGGGGATTTAAGGGGGCGGCTAAGAAGCAGCAAGTGGCTCGTCTGGGTGGGCATCCGTCTAGGTGCCCGAGACTTCTAAGATGCTCACCTCCTTGGTGAAGAGGGCCTCCAGTTCCTGCTCATCCAGGACACCATCACTGTTGATATCTGAAGAGAAGGAGATAGCAAGATATCAGGGGACCAAGGACGAGGCGCATCAGGTCCCAGGTGAAGAAATTTTCGGCCGAGGTGGAGTCTGTTATCAGAGGACAGGTAACTACGGGTCTCCCGCAGTGGAACGGTAGCCCTCAGGCTTTCCCACCCCACTAGGCCCGTTGCTAGGACCACTGCCTAGCAAGCAGGGTGCTGAGAATGAAACAGATGAGGGGTGGGATTTGCAGAAACATGCTTGGGTCACTGTCATGCAGGATTCTCTGGCCCTGGCATCCAGTGTTCTGGGCACAGAGTCAGCTCCAAGGTTATCAGGGACCTCTGGCTCCCAGAAAACCAGGCCAGTGCCAACTCCAAGTGCCAGGGGAGCCTCTCCTGCCAATACACCCCTCACAGCTGCAGGGCTCCAGGCTGAGTCGGCCACACTCACTGTCCTCACCACTGGCCCTCCTCCTTCTTCGGCTCCCTCCGATGAACACAACCTGCTCCTGTGGAGGAGGCCAGGAACCCTGATCTTGCAAATCCAGTAGATAATTTTCCACCTACACCTGACTTGACTTTCTGCCCTTGGCTTACAGAACATGATTCTGTTCTCTCTGGCTGCCCCTTTGCCTCCTTGTCCGGCTCCATCCTCTTCCTGACCTTGACATGCTAGTGCAGTGCAGGGCTCAGGCCTGGGGAACTGTTTTCTGTCTAAACTCTGGATCTGCGCTGTCCAACACCGTAGCCACTAGCCACATGGACTGTTTACATTCAAATTAAGAATAAAGAAAATGGCCTAATGTGGTGGCTCATGCCTATAATCCCACCACTTTGGGAGGCTAAGCCGGATGGATCACCTGAGGTTGGGAGTTCAAGACCAACCTGACCGACCAACATGGAGAAACCCTGTCTCTACTAAAAATACAAAAAATTAGCCGTGTGTGGTGGCACAGGCCTGTAGTCCCAGCTACTCGGGAGGCTGTGGCAGGAGAACTGCTTGAATCCGGGAGGTGGAGGTTGCAGTGAGTCAAGACCGCAGCATTGCACTCTAACCTAGGCAACAAGAGCTAACCTCCATGTCAAAGAAAAAAAAAAAAAGAATAAAGAAAATGTAGGGGCTGGGCTTAGTGGCTCATGCCTGTAGTCCCAGTACTTTGGAAGGCTAAGCCAAGAGGATCACTTGAGCCCAGAAGTTCAAAACCGGCCTAGAAAAGATGGTTAGACCCTGTCTCTACAAAAAAATATTTTTAAATCGGGCCAGGTGCAGTGGCTCATGCCTGTAATCCCAGTCTTGCTCTGTCGCCCAGGCTGGAGTGCGGTAGTGCGATCCTGGCTCACTGCAACCTCTGCCTCAGCCTCCCAAGTAGCTGGGAGTATAGGTGGGCGCCACCACACTTGGCTAATTTTTGTATTTTTATTTACTTTATTTTGTATTTTTAGTAGAGATAGGGTTTTGCCATGTTGGCCAGGCTGGTCTCCAATCCCTGGCCTCAGGTGACCCACCCGCCTCGACCTCTCAAAGTGCTGAGATTAAAGGTGTGAGCCACCACATCCAGTCTAGAACCTTCACTAACTCTAAGATGTATCTTTTTGTTCTTCTATTTTATCACCCTGAAATAGGGCTGCATCTTTTTTTTTTTTTTTTTTTTGAGACGGAGTTTCACTCTTGTTACCCAGGCTGGAGTGCAATGGCTCGATCTCGGCTCATCGCAACCTCCGCTTCCTGGGTTCAGGCAATTCTCCTGCCTCAGCCTCCTGAGTAGCTGGGATTACAGGCACGCGCGACCACGCCCAGCTAATTGCATCTTTATTTTTATTTATTTGTTTATTTATTTTTTGAGATGGAGTTTCGCTCTTGTTGCCCAGGCTGGAGTACAATGGCGCAATCTCGGCTCACTGAAACCTCCGCCTCCCGGGTTCAAGCGATTCTCCTGCCTCAGCTTCCCGAGTAGCTGGGATTATAGGCAACTGCCACCACACCCAGCTAATTTTTCTATTTTTAGTAGAGATGGGGCTTCACCATGTTGGCCAGGCTGGTCTTGAACTCCTGACCTTAGGTGATCCACCCGCCTCAGCCTTCCAAAGTGCTGGGATTCCAGGTGTGAGTTATCACACCCAGCGTCTCTCTCTCTCTCTCTCTCTCTCTCTCTTTTTTTAAATAGAGACAGGGTTTCACTTTGTTGTCCAGGCTGGTCTTGGACTCCTGGGCTCAAGCCATGTTCCACTTTGGCCTCCCAAAGTGCTAGGATAACAGGTGTGAGTCACACCACCCAGCCCCGGATGCATCTTATTTTCAATGATACATTAGTTCAATTGGCAGCTTACGTAAAGCACTAGCATCGCTCATACTCTACAGTCTCTTGGAGTTAGTACAGTATGGTACGATCTGTGTGCCTAATCACCTGCCCTCAGAGGAGGTACTTTCTTTTATTGACAGCTGTATCCACAAGGTCTTGAGAAAGCTTGGTCCTTAGAGAGAGCTTAGTGAAGGTTTGCTGAATGAATGAGTGAGGCCTTGCTAAGCTCTTCTGACAGGCTGCAGATTCTGGGACGGGGTGCTGGGTATACCTGAGGGGTCTTGGCAACCCCAGGCCACGTTTCCAGAGAGGAAGAGACAGACTGAGGAGAGTGTGCCTTTGATCCACCATAGAGAAAGGGCTTTCCGCTGGGCATGGTGGCTCACACCTGTAATCCCAGCACTTTGGGAGGCCAAGTCGGGCAGATCACATGAGGTTGGGAGTTTTAGATGAGTCTGGCCAACATGGTAAAAACCCACCTCTACTAAAAATACAAAAATTAGCCGGGCATGGTGGTGCATGCCTGTAATCCCAGTTACTCGGGAGGCTGAGGCAGGAGAATCATTTGATTCAGGGAGGTGGAAGGTGGGGGTTGCAGTGAGCCAAGATCACACCACTACACTCCAGCCTGGGCAACAGAGCAAGACTATCAAAAAATAAAAAGAAGCCTGGGTGCAGTGGCTCACACCTGTAATCCCAGCACTTTGGGAGGCTAAAGCAGGCGGATCATTTGAGGGCAAGAGATCAAGACCAGCCTGGCCAACATGGTGAAACCCTGTCTCTACTAAAAATACAAAAAAATTAGCTGGGCATGGTAGTGCGTGCCTGTAGTCCCAGCCACTCAGGAGGCTGAAGTAGAACTGCCTGAACTGAGAGGCAGAAGTTGCAGTTAGCCAAGATAGCACCACTGCACTCCAGCCTGGGTGACAGAGCAAAACTCTGTCTCAAAAAAAAAGAAAAAAAGAAAAAAGAAAAAGAAAAAGGGCTTCCCAGGCTTCTGGAGGCCTGATTCTTAGGGAACAGCCCACTCCTATCGACAGGGCTCCCAGAGAGGACCAGGGCTTTTTCTGGGCTGCTATGGGAGGGAACTCAGGCCTAGCCAAGCCTGGTTTGCTCAGACAGTGGACACAGGGTGGTCCTTAGAACCCCGAGGTCTGGCATTTGCAAGAAAAGTGGCCCAACCCTGCTGTGCAGATCGTAGCCTTACAGCAGGGAGAGGCAGCGGCTCAGCTCTCTCAGCCTGACTGAGCCCTCCTGGGACAGACACACCCCTCTTAGCATTCAGGTCCCAGAAGGGTCAGAGTCTCAGGGTTCATCCTGGCTCTGGAACTCCCTCCCCACCTTACCATGCAGAATGAAGAAGGTCTTGGGGTTAAACCTGTTGGGATCCAGTCCATCCAGCTCCTCCCACACCTCTTTCAGCTGGGCTTGGCTGCCCTGTGGAGGGGAGAGCCAGGAGCTCATGAGCAAGAAGTCTGGATGCCACAGGATAAAACCAAATACCCCCTTACGCCCATCCAACAAACCAATCATCTCCCTCAAGTAAGAAAACTAAGAAAACTACAACTCCCAGCAGCCCCTGGGGCAGCAGGGTACAATAACAGGGAGTTTTTGCCTCTATGGCTCCTGGGAGTTGTAGTTCTTCAACTGCTTTCTTGTCTTGGGTTTGAGCTGGATGTGGTAGAGTCAGCACAAATGGGGGTCCTCACAGGCACGTTGACTTTGGGGTGCTCGCGGTGCCGGCGCTGTTGCTCTTCCAGCTTCCTCTCTGCCTCCTTTCTCTGCTCCTCTCCCAGTGACTCCAGATAACGCCGTCTCTCATGTTCCTTAAGCATTTCGTAGCGCTTGAACTCTTCATGATGGGCTGCGTCATACTGGGCAAGGTCCCGGGTGGCCTGGGGAAAGGCACAGAGTCATTGCCTCTCTCCGCTATGCCCTGCCCCTGATTCCAGCCTGGAAATGGCAGGCCCTTGGCCCTGAACCTGGCAAGGGGCAGCCCCAACCTCCACCTGTCTTATGTCTCTTGTCCTGATGTGTCCCCCCAACCCACATTTTTTTTTTTGAGACAGAGTCTCATTCTGTCGTCCAGACTGCAGTGCAGCGGTGCGATCTCGGCTCATTGCAACCTCTGCCTCCCAGGTTCATGCGATTCTCCTGCCTCAGCCTCCTGAGTGAAACCTCCAACATGGTGAAACCCTGCTTCTAGTAAAGATATAAAAATTAGCCGGGTATGCTGGCATGTGCTTGTAATTCCAGCTACTCGGGAGGCTGAGGCAGGAGAATCACTTGAACCTAGAGTTGGAGGTTGCAGTGAGCCAAGCTTGCCACTGCACTCCCACCTGGGACACTCAGTGAGACTGTCTCAACAACAAAAAACTACCTAGCCCTCTGCCACCCTCCAACCTCAGAGACCACCAGCAGGCCTGGCAAGCCGGCTCACGTCCCAGACACTGTCCCTTTCTTCCTTTCTGCAAAGCTTCCCTCAATCCTCTACCTCTGGACCCACTCCCATTACCGTCTGGATCAGCAGTTCCAGGTCACGGGCCTCGAATGTATGCTGGTTCTGAGGGTCAAGGTGTTCAAACTGCTTCAGGAGATTCAGATGATCCACCTGTACATCTGGAAGAGAGGGAAGAGTCCAAATCTCAGGGAGTGTTCTTTCAAAACCCCCATCTTGGGCCAGACGTGCTCTAAAGAAGCCCAGAAGACAGGTTGAGCCTGGGGCAATCAAGGAGGGCTTCCTGGAGGAGGTGATCCCATGACTGACTCTGATGCTTATAATAAAAACTAACACGTACTGCATACTTACCATATGCCAGGCCATGCCCTAAACACTTTAATTGTATTAATTAATTTACTTTCCATAAAAACCTGACAGCATGGGCTCTATGATTATCCCCATTTTACGCATGGGAACACTAAGACTCCTTGAGGGATTGTGGCTTGTCTAAGCTACCAGCTAGCAAGTGGCAGAGCAAGAATGGGAACTAGCCATTGGATACCCAAAACCGTGACCCGCCACCATTTCCTTTTCTTCTTCTTCTTTTTCTTTTTTGGGGGACAGGGTTTCACTCTAGTCACCCAGGCTGGAGAGCCCTCGTGCGATCTCGGCCCACTGCAACCTCCACCTCCCGGGCTTAAGCAATCCTCCTGCCTCAGTCCCCTGAATAGCTGGGACTACAGGTGTGTGCCATCACACCTGGCTAATTTTTGTATTTTGGGTAAAGATGGGGTTTCAACATGTTGGCCAGGCTGCTCTTGAACTCCTGACCTCAGGTGATCTACACCTCCCAAAGTGCTGGGATTACAGGCGCAAGCCACCCGGCCAGCCACAACCACTCTTTAAAAAAACAAACAAACAAAAAACACCAGAATTTTTGGTAAAGCATCAACCAGTCTTAGGGGTTACGTTGTGTGCTCCTAACTTCTTATGTTGAAATCCTAAGCCCTAGTACCTCAAAATGTGACCCGATTTGGAGACTAGGCCTTTGCAGAGGGAATCAGGTCAAGATAAGGTGATCGTGCCGGACTCAGTGGCTCATGCCTGTAATCCCAGCACTTTGGGAGGCCGAGGCAGGCAGATCAGGAGGTGGAGAGATCGAGACCATCCTGCCCAACATAGGGAAAACCCATCTCTACTAAAAATGCAAAAATTAGCTGGGTATGGTGGTGCAAGCCTTTAGTCCCAGCTACTCGGGAGACTGAGGCAGGAGAATCACTTGAACCTGGGAGGCAGAGGCAGAGGTTGTAGTGAACTGAGATCGTGCCACTGAACTCCAGCCTGGCGATAAAGCGAGACTCCATCTTAAAAAAAAAAAAAAAAAAAAAAAAAGACAGGGTCGTCACTTTACTGTGGGCCCTAATCCAACATGACTAATATCCTTATAAAAAGGAGAAATTTATGGCCGGGTGTAGTGGCTCATGCCTATAATCCCAGCACTTTGGGAGGCTGAGATGGGAGGATCACTTGAGCTCAGGCATTTGAGAACAGCCTGGACAACATGGCGCAACCCCATTTCTACAAAAAATACGAAAATTAGCTACATGCGGTGGCGTGTGCCTGTAGTCCCAGCTACTCGGGAGGTTGAGGCAGGAGAATCACTTGAGCCTGTGAGGCAGAGGTTGCGGTGATCTGTGATTGTGCCTCTGCACTCCAGCCTGGGTGATGGAAGTGAAATCATATTTCAAAAAAAAATAATGGACCGGGTGCGGTGGCTCACACCTATAATCCCAGCACTTTGGGAGGCCAAGACAGGTAGATCACCTGAGGTCAGGAGTTTGCGACCAGCCTGACTAACGTGGGGGAACTCCATCTCTACCAAAAACACAAAACAGGACCATGCTTGTAATCCCAGCTACTCAGGAGTCTGAGGCAGGAGAATCACTTGAACTCGGGAAGCAGAGGTTGCAGTGAGCGCCACTGCACTCCAGCTTGGGCAATGAGAGCAAAACTCCGTCTCAAAACATACCCCAAAATAAATAATAATAATATTTTATTTATTTATTTATTTATTTATTTATTTTTTTGAGACGGAGTTTCGCTCTTGTTACCCAGGCTGGAGTGCAATGGTGCGATCTCGGCTCACCGCAACCTCCGCCTCCCGGGTTCAGGCAATTCTCCTGCCTCAGCCTCCTGAGTAGCTGGGATTACAGGCACGTGCCACCATGCCCAGCTAATTTTTTTGTATTTTTAGTAGAGACGGGGTTTCACCATGTTGACCAGGATGGTCTCGATCTCTTGACCTTGTGATCCACCTGCCTCGGCCTCCCAAAGTGCTGGGATTACAGGCTTGAGCCACCGTGCCCGGCCAATAATAATAATTTATAAACAAAAAATAACAATAAAAGGAGAAATATGGGCCAGGCATACAGAGAGGGAAGATGGTGTGAAGACACGGGGAGGAGACGGCTGTCTGTAAGCCAAGGAGTGGGGTCTGGAGCAGACCCTTTCTCACATGCTGGAAGAGCCAGAGCTGCCAGCCCTTCACCCAGACTCTGGCCCGCAGCCCCTGGGCCGGGCAAGTTCTGTCGTTGAAGCACCTCGCCAGGGGGACTTGGCTACAGCGGCCTCAGCAAACACGTGCAGCCTGGCTCGTATGGGAGTTTCCGAGCGGTCAGGAAGGGGTAGGGTTTCCAGGCAGGAAGGAACAGCACATACGCCGTCAACACCACTTATTCACTGCACACACGTCTCCCCTGGCCTCTGGGGACCCAGGCCCGAACTGTGCCATGCTGGACCCAGAATGAATTGGCCCAGCCCCGCCCTAAAGCGGCCCTTGGTCAGGTGGGAGGAAAGACCACACACACACACACACACACACACACACACAGAGAGGCAGCTAAGATCTGGGAGACCCAGGCTGCAATGGAGGCCAAACACACACACACACACACACACACACACACACACACACACACACAGAGCTAGAATCTGGGAGACCCAGGCTGCAGTAGAAGACACACACACACACACACACACACACACACACAGAGGCAGCTTAGATCTGGGAGACCCAGATTGCAGTGGAGGACACACACACACACACACATACACACACACACACACACACACAAAGCAGCTAGCATCTGTGAGACTCAGGCTGCAGTGGATGCAGCTCTGACCCTGGCTGAGCCCAGAGGTACAACAGGCGTGCAGGACGCATGTACAGACTGAATCTCCAATTCATTATTGGTGCCGGGAATGTGTGTTGAGCCGCTACTCCAGGCTGACCCAGTGCTGGGCGCTGTGGTCACAGCAGGAATCAGATGGTGACAGAATCCTGCCTCTTGAAGTCCGGGCACGGTGGCTCATGCCTGTAATCTCAGCACTTTGGGACACCAAGGCAGGCAGATCACCTAAGGTCAGGAGTTCAAGACCAGCCCGGCCAACACGGTGAAACTCTGTCTCTACTAAAAACACACACACACACACACCCACACACACACACACACACACACACACACACACACACACACAAATTAGCCGGGCGTGGTGGCAGGCACCTGTAATCCCAGCTACTCAGGAGAGTGAGGCAGGAGAATCGCTTGAACCCAGGAGGCAGAAGTTGCAGTGAGCTGAGATTGCGCCACTGCACTCCAGCCTGGGCGACAGAGTGAGGCTCCATCTCAAAAACAACAACAAAACCCAAAAGCGTTCTGCCTCTTGAGGATCCAGTCTAGAGAGAGAGAATAGGCCACCAAGGCGGGGACAAAATAATACCAAGGACACAAATCAATGTAGCCTCCTTCACGCAGGACAGCCGGGGTGGGGGGTCGGGGGGCTCCCTGGGGAGGTGATACTCCAGCCGAGACGGAAGCTCCACGGACCACGCGAAGAGCCCCGAGAAGGAATGTCACAGGACAGCGGGGTGAACGGGCAAAGGTCTCGAGGCTGCCCTCCAGCAATTTCTAAGAATGCTGATGCAAGAGGGTCAGGGGGCACAGGGAAAGGGCGGGGCCCGGCTGATCCAGCTCAAGGGATCCTGCCTCAGCCTCACATGTAGCTGGGACTATCAGCCCGAGCCCTCGTGTCTGGCTAATTATGAATTATGACAGTGACTTTTTTTTTTTTGAGACAGAGTCTTGCTCTATTGCCCAGGCTGGAGTGCAGTGGCATGATCTCAGCTTACTACAACCTCTACCTCCTGGGCTTAAGCAATTCTCCTGCCTCAGCCACCCAAGTAGTTGGGATTACAGGCGCGGCCACCACACCTGGCTAATTTTTATATTTTCGGTAGAGACAGCGTTTCACCATGTTGGCCAGGCCGGTCTTGAATGCTCGATCTCAAGTGATCCACCTGCCTTGGCTTCCCACAGTGTTGGGATTACAGGCATGAGCCACTGTGCTTGGCCATAATGTTTTTTTTTTTTTTTTTTTTTTTTGGAGACAGTGTCTCCCAGGCTGCAGTGCAATGGCACAATCTCGGCTCACTGCAACCTATGCCTCCAGGTTTCAAGCGATTCTCCCACCTCGGCCTCCCGAAGAGCTGGGGTTACAGGCATGCGCCACCACACCCGGCTAATTTTGTATTTCTAGTAGAGATGGGGTTTTGCCATGTTGGTCAGGCTGGTCTCAAATTCCTGACCTCAGGTGATCTGCCCACCTTGGCCTCCCAAAGTGCTGGGATTAGAGGCATGAGCCACTGCGCCTGGCCATGATACTGATTTTTATTATTTATTATTTTTATACTGTATTTTTAGTAGGGACGAGGTTTTGCCATGTTGGTCAGGCTGGTCTAAAACTCCTGACCTCAGGTGTTCAGGCCGCCTCAGTCTCCCAAAGTGCTGGGATTACAGGCGTGAGCCACCGCGCCCAGCCCACCGATAAGAATTTTTAAAAACAACAAATGGGCCGGGCACGGTGGCTCATGCCTGTAATCCCAGCACTTTGGGAGGCTGAGGCAGGTAGATCACGAAGTCAAGAGATCGAGACCATCCTGGTCGACATGGTGAAACCCCGTCTCTACTAAAAATACAAAAAAATTAGCTGGGCATGGTGGCACGTGCCTGTAATCCCAGCTACTCAGGAAGCTGAGGCAGGAGAATTGCCTGAACCCAGGAGGCGGAGGTTGCGGTGAGCCGAGATCGCGCCATTGCATTCCAGCCTGGGGAACAAGAGCGAAACTCCGCCTCAGAGAAAAATAAATAAAAACAACAAATGGAAGCAGAATATAAACAAAGAGCATTGCAGTGTTAGTATTAAGTCATGCAATTTCCCATGCACATTTCACAGCAGGGAGGGAGGCCTGGCCTGCCTAGCACACCACCACCAGGAAGCCGGGAGCACGACACCCCTCCCCAGCCCTCCCTGCCTGCCCCTCCCGCCCTGCCCCTGCTCACTGGGCTCCTGCTGGGCGTCCATCTTGGCCTTGAGCAGCATCCGCAGCCGCGACACCTCCTGTCGCTTGAGCTCATCCAGCTTGGTGCGGACGTGGTGGCTGACGAAGTCCAGCTCTCGGCTCAGCTTCCCGCTCTGAGGGGAGAGGAGACCCTGGTCCGCCTGGGGGCCCAGCAGGTGGCATGCCGGGTGGCCTAGGCCTGCTCTCTATCTTCTCTGACAGCTTCTTACAAGCTTTCTCATGCCCCAGACTTTTTTTTTTTTTTTTGAGACAAAGTCTCACTCCTGTTCACAGGCTGGAGTACAGTAACACGACCTGGGCTCACTACGACCTCCGCCTCCCGGTTCAAGAGATTCTCCTGCCTCAGCCTCCCGAGTAGCTGGGATTACAGGCGCCTGCCACCACACCCAGCTAATTTTTGTATTTTTAGTAGAGACAGGGTTTCACCATGTTTGCCAGGCTGGTCTCAAACTCCTGACCTCAGGTGATCCGCCTGCCTCAGCCTCCAAAAGTTCTGGGATTACAGGTGTGAGCCGCCGCGCCCGGCCCTGCCCCGGTCTTATACTGCCCCTTCCCTGCTTACAGTTCCCCAGCCCCTCAGAGTCTCCAAGGACAAGTCCCAGCCCCTCAGCCTGGTATTTGAAGCCCTGCCCACCTCTGCTGCTGCATGTCCCATTATGCAACAAATCACATGTTAAGGGCCAGGTGCAGTGACTCATGCCTGTAATCCCAGCACTTTGGGACGCTGAGGTGGGAGGATCACATGAGCCCAGGAGTTTGAGACCCACCTGGGCAAGATGGCAAATCCCTGTCTCTGGAAACAATAAAAAATTAGCTGCGGTTGGGAGCGGTGGCTCATGCCTGCAATCCCAGGACTTTGGGAGGCTGAGGTGGGTGGATCACAAGGTCAGGAGATTGAGACCGTCGTGGCCAACATGGTAAAACCCTGTCTCCACTAAATACAAAAAAACTAGCCAGGTGTGGTGGCATGCGCCTGTAGTCCCAGCTACCCGGGAGGCTGAGGCAGGGGAATCGCTGGAACCCAGGAGGCAGAGGTTGCAGTGAGCTGAAATTGTGCCACTGCACTCCAGCCTGGGTGACAAAGTGAGACTCTGTCTCAAAAGATAAAAAATAAAAGTAGCTGGGCATGGTGGCATGAGCCTGTAATCCCAGCTACTTGGGAGGCTGAGGCATGAGGACCACTAGAACCTGGAAGGCGGAGGTTGCAGTGAGCAGAGCACCACTGCACTCCAGACTGGGCGACAGAGCCAGACCTCATCTCAAAAAAAGGAAAAAAAGAATCCCCTGAGACCCCTCACTTCACCTCCAACTCTCTCTCTCACACACACACTGTGCTAAGTGCCTTCTCTGAGCTGACTCTGCTATGACCTGGCATTGTGTCTGGTTCTCAGTCAGAGCTGACGCCGCTACTTTCCTCCTCACAGCCTCCCAGGGCTCTCCAGTCCTCCTAGGACAAAGTCCCTCAGCTCAGCACTCAAGACCTTGCAAAGCCAGACACGGTGCCTCACACCTGTAATCTCAAACCTTTGGGAAGCAGGAGGAGGCAGGAGGATCGCTTGCGCCCAGGAGTTTGAGACTAGCCTGAGCAATGTAAAGAAACCCTTTACAAAAAATCAAAAATTGGCCTGGCACAGTGGCTCACGCCTGTCATCCTAGCACTCTGGGAGATTGAGGCGGACAGATCACGAGGTCAGGAGTTTGAGATCAGCCTGGCCAACATGGTGAAACCCCATCTCTACTAAAAATACAAAATTAGCCGGGCGCGGTGGCTCAAGCCTGTAATCCCAGCACTTTGGGAGGCCGAGGCGGGTGGATCACGAGGTCAAGAGATCGAGACCGTCCTGGTCAATATGGTGAAACCCCGTCTCTACTAAAAATACAAAAAAAAGTAGCTGGGCATGGTGGCACATGCCTGTAATCCGAGCTATTCAGGAGGCTGAGGCAGGAGAATTGCTTGAACCCAGGAGGCGGAGGTTGCGGTGAGCCGATATCGTGCCATTGCACTCCAGCCTGGGTAACAAGAGCGAAACTCCATCTCAAAAAAAAAAAAAAATACAAAATTAGTTGGGCATGATGGCGTGCCCCTGTAATCCCAGCTACGAGGGAGGCTGAGGCAGGAGAATTGCTTGAACCCGGGAGGCAGAGGTTGCAGTGCGCCGAGACCATGCCATTGCACTCCAGCCTGGGAGACAGAGTAACACTTCATCTCAAAAAAATAAAAATAAAAAATTAGCCAGGTGTGGTGGCACTTGCCTGTAGTCCCAGCTAATCAGGAGCCTGAGGTGGGAGGACCGCTTAGCCTGGGAGGTTGCAGCTACAGTGAACTGTGACGGCACCACTCAACTGCCCACATCGGCCTGAGTGTAACAGCGTGGGACGCTGCCTCTAAAAAAAAGCCCTGTGAGACTTGGCACCCATCCACCCTTCTGGCCCCACGTCCCCATCTTTATATCAGTCATAAGGAATCACCAACAAAAGTGAAATGCACCGGGCTGGGTGGAGCAGCTCATGCCTGTAATCCCAGCACTTTGGGAGGCTGAGGCAGGTGGATTGCTTGAGGTCAGGAGTTCGAGACCAGCCTGGGCAACATGGAGAAGCCCTTCTCTACAAAAATCACAAAAAATGAGCTGGGTGAGCCGGGCGCGGTGGCTCAAGCCTGTAATCCCAGCACTTTGGGAGGCTGAGGCGGGTGGATCACGAGGTCGAGAGATCGAGACCATCCTGGTCAACATGGTGAAACCCCGTCTCTACTAAAAATACAAAAAACTAGGTGGGCGTGGTGGCGCGTGCCTGTAATCCCAGCTACTCAGGAGGCTGAGGCAGGAGAATTGCCTGAACCCAGGAGGCGGAGGTTGCGGTGAGCCAAGATCGTGCCATTGCACTCTAGCCTGGGTAACAAGAGTGAAACTCCGTCTCAAAAAAAAAAAAAAAAGAGCTGTGTGTGGTGACACGTGCCTCTAGTCCCAGCTACTCGGGAGGCTGAGGCAGGAGAATCGCTTGAACCTGGGAGGCGGAGGTTGCAGTGAGCCGAGATTGTGCCACTGCATCCAGCCTGGGCGACAGCGTGACTCAGTCTCAAAAAAAAAAAAAAAAAAGGTACTTGCACATTTGTACAGTGTTCTGAAATGCCACCCCTGCCCCCGTACACTGACTTCTGTATCACAGACACCCCCAGCCAGGCACCCTTTTCCCGGAAGCCCTCTCTTGCTTCTCTGTCTGGTCCCAGTTCCTCTTTGGGGCTCCCCTAGTGCCCTCTGCTGTCTGTTTTTGCTCAGATTGCTTCATTGCAGTCACATGTGACTCACGTCTGTCTCTCCTGCCCATGGGGCACAGCCTTTGCAGAGGCAGCAGGATGAGGTGACTGAAGTCACAGTCAGAGTGACCAAAGCCAGTCACACGCCTCCTCTAATCTGGCCCAATCTGGCCCACAACTCACTGGAAAGACTTGACGCCCAGGAGGAAAAGCCACTTGCCCAAGATCCCCTGGACAGTGAGGATGGGAGGCCAGCTTCTAGCCTGATGACCACATTGCAGTCACTGTCTGCCCAGTTTGGGAGTCCCTGGGGCCTGGGTTCAAACCCCAAACTTGCACCAGCCCTTAAGTGACCCAGCACAGCCCTTTCCTGCTCTGCGTCTCAAAACGGGTTGGGCAAGGCATGGTGACTCACGCCTGTCATCCCAGCACTTTGGGAGGCCGAGGCAGGAGGATCACTTGAGGTCTGGAGTTCGAGACCAGCCTGGCCAACATCTCTACTTAAAAATAGAAAAATTCGCCAGGCATAGTGGCTCACGCCTGTAATTCCAGCACTTTCGGAGGCCGAGGTGGGTGGATCACCTGAGGTCAAGAGTTCGAAACCAACCTGACCAACATGGAGAAACCCCATCTCTACTAAAAATACAAATAAGGCTGGGTATGGTGGCGCATGCCTGTAATCCTAGCTACTCAGGAGGCTGAGGCAGGAGAATCGCTTGAACCCGGGAGGCGGAGGTTGTGGTGAGCCACGTCGTATCATTGCACTCCAGCTTGAGCAACAAGAGTGAGACTCCATCTCAAAAGAAACACAAAACAAGCAAACAAACAAAAATTAGCTGGGCATGGTGGTGTGTGCCTGTAGTCCCAGCTACTTGGGAGGCTAAAGCAGGAGGATCACTTGGACCTGGGAGGTGGAGGCTGCAATTGCCCGAGATGGTGCCACTGCACTCCAGCCTGGGCAACAGAGCAAGACTGTCTCATACAAAACAAAACAAGACAAAAAACGGGCTGATGCCACTGCTACTGACTACCAGGGTAACTGACATTTATTGCAGGCTTATGATAAGCCAGGCCGCATTCCTGAAGTATGGATTATCAGTGATTTGCACAACCAGGTCTCACAATAGGGAGGTCTCACATATTAGCCCGTTTTCAGAGACGGGAACCAAGGTACAGAGAAGGGCAGCCCAACACAGCATCGGGTGGAGCTGAGATGGACCCAGCCCTGATCCGCTCTGCACCCTGCCTGCCTAACTGCCCTCTCTGCTTCTGTTTTCTTTTCTTTCTTTTTTTTTTTTTAGACACAGTCTTGCCCTGTCGTCCAGGCTAGAGTGCAGTGGCACAATCTCAGCTTATTGCAACCTCCGTCTCTGGGTTCAAGCAATTCTTCTGCCTCAGCCTCCCGAGTCGCTGGGATTACAGGCATGTGCTACCATGCCCAGCTAATTTTTTGTATGTTTAGTAGAGACAGGGTTTCACCATGTTGGCCAGGCTAGTCTTGAACTCCAGACATTGTGATCTGCCAGCCTCAGCCTCTCAAAGGGCCAGGATTACAGGTGTGAACCACCGTGCCTGGCCTGGCCCCTCTGCTTCTGATGTCACTTCCCAGGCACATGACCTTGGGCAAGCCAGGTGGCCTCTTGGGCCTCAATTTCCCCACTTGAACAATGGGAGGGGCTGGACTCAGTGGCTGTGCCCGTCCAGCATCCCAGGCCAGGTGGATGGGGACACATGAGGGTGGTGGGATTACAGAGAAGTTTCTATGAGTACTAGGGGCTACCTCCTGACCAGTCTCAGGCCCCGGGGCCCCTCGTGGGCAGAGGTGTTTGGAGAACTGTGGGCTGGGGACAGGCAGCCCCGTCCCCCATGGGGGACTCTCTGCATCATCTGCTCTCCTGAGGGGAGTGGAGGTGCTGGGGCTCTGGCTCAGCCAGTTAGGGCGAGACCCAGGCCCACGAGAAGCAGAGGCCCTGCTACCAGGGTTTGGTGTCCTGCTCTGTGAAATGGGGACAATGACAGTGCTCCTTAGAGGCCTGACATGGAGTCCACAGAGACGTGAGGGACACCGGCACCTCCCTTATTTTGAATTCTTTCTCTGTAGAAGGCACCATAGGCGCATTCTGTTAAAGCAACCCTTCCAGAACACTTGCTAAGGAGTGTCCCTGCGCTCTTCCAAACCCTTTACACATCTTCCTTTGGAAATTCCAAACCCCAAAATCCTTCCCTTACACATTTTCCCTTGGAAAATCCAAACCCAAACCCTGCGCGACAGGTTCTGTGATGACTCCCATTTTTACAGATGGGGAAACTGAGGCACGGTGAGGGGCGGCCCCATAGCTAGGAAGTGGTAGAGCTGCAGCTGAAAGTCTGCCCGTGGGGGTGTGCACTAACTACGTATTCTGTGTTCCCCAAAGCTCTTCCCAGCTTGTGATCCCAAGAAGCAACTTCTCCCTGAGTCTCACTTTGGTGATCTCAAATACAGGCAGAGCTGGAGCCATGCGGCCCCCTTGAAGAAACCAGTCCTCTCCTGAACTCTGCCCTCCCAGCACGTGCCCCTCCCAAAGCCCCCACTGCCCGAAGCTGCACCTTGATGTCCTCCGCATTGGCAGCCTGTAGCTTCTCGCGGAAATGCCCATCTGTCTCCAGCACGTCGATGACCTCCTGGAGGTACCGGTGGTAGTACAGGCCCGTGTCCTGAGGCAACAAGGACAGACATAGCAGCCCCTGCTCCCACCTCCCCACCCTCACTGCTGTGACTGCTATGGCCTGCTCCCTGGGGCAGCTGCCAAGGGACTCAGTTTTTACCTTTTCCCACATCTGCAGCAAAGATGAAATGAAAATCAAATCAGTGAACACCCAGCCTAATATTGCTCAGAGTGGATGCTCAGAGTGGACATGACTTGTTGGGAAGCCATGAATCATACCTGTATCCATCCATCCATCCATGCATCCACCCACTCATCCATACATCCCACCCACCCATCTATCCACCCATCAACCATCCATCTGTCCATCCATCTACCCATCCATCCATCTATCCGTCCACCCACCCACCCATCCATCCATCCATGCATCCACCCACTCATCCAAACATCCTACCCACCCATCTAGCCATCATCCATCTATCCATCCATCCATCCATCCATCCATTAATCCACTCATCCATCCACCTACTCATCCATCCATCCATCCATCTACCCACCCAACCCATCCATCCATCCACCCACCCATCCATACATCTCACCCACCCATCTATCCAACCATTATCCATCCATCCATCCATCCATCCATCCATCCATCTACCCATCCATCCATCCACTCATCCATCCATCTACCCATCCATCCATCTATCCAGCTACCCCCCCACCCATCCATCCATCTAACCCCCAACCCATCCATCCATCCACCTACCCATCCATACATCTCACCCACCCATCTATCCAACCATTATCCATCCATCCATCCATCCATCCATCCATCCATCTACCCATCCATCCATCCACTCATCCATCCATCTATCCAGCTACCCCCCACCCATCCATCCATCTATCCACCCATCTACCCACCCACCCATCCATCCATCCACCCACCCACCCATTCACCTATTCATCCATCCATCCATCCACCCACTCACCCATCCATCCATCTACCCACCCACTCATCCATCCATCCACCCATCAATCCACCCACCCACCCATCCATCTAATCACCCACCCATCCACCCACCCATCCATCCATCTGACCACCCACCCACCCATCCACCTATCCATCCATCCATCCATTCATTCAACGAACATTCACCAGGCCCCTATCATATGCCCAGCACTGTGAACAACACAGACAAAAAGTCCCAGGCCTCCTGGTGCCATCCCTGTCATGCATAGCTGGGTGGCCCTTTACTGTCCCTGGGCCTTCTTTGCTCTTCCTATGTATAAAACAGGCAATATGTCCTCTGCCTCCCAGGGCTGTGGTGAAAAGCAAGTAAGATAAATTGGAAAAAATAAGTAAGACGTGGTGGCTCATGCCTGTAATCCCAGTGCTCTGGGAGGCTGAGGCAAGAGGATTGCTTGAGCCAGGAGCCTGAGGCTGCAGTACATTATAATCACACCACCTCACTCCAGCCGAGGTGACAGAGCAAGACCCTGTGTTCCAAATCAAAAAAATTTTAAATTAAAAAAAAAGAAAAAGAAAAAGAAAAAAATGTCCATGCATGGTGGCTGATGCCTGTAATTCCAGCACTTTGAGAGGCTGAGGCAGGTGGATTGCTTGAGCTCAGGAGTTTGAGACCAGCCTGGCCAACACGGGGAGACTCTGTCTCTGCAAAAAGAAAAAAAATTAGCTGGGCATGGTGGCACATGCCTGTAGTCCCAGCTACTTGGGAGTATGAGGCAGGAGTATCAGGTGAGCCCAGGAGTTTGAGGCTGCAGTGAGTTATGATCCTGTCACTGCGCTCCAGCCTGGGCAACAGTGCAAGACTCTATTAAAAAAAAAAAATTGGCCGGGCGCGGTGGCTCAGGCCTGTAATCCCAGCACTTTGGGAGGCCGAGGTGGGTGAATCACGAGGTCGAGAGATCGAGACCATCCTGGTCAACATGGTGAAACCCCGTCTCTACTAAAAATACAAAAAAGTAGCTGGGCATGGTGGTGCGTGCCTGTAATCCCAGCTACTCAGGAGGCTGAGGCAGGAGAATTGCTTGAACCCAGGAGGCGGAGGTTGCGGTGAGCCGAGATCGTGCCATTGCACTCCAGACTGGGTGACAAGGGCGAAACTCCGTCTCAAAAAAAAAAAAAAAAAAAAAAAAAAAAAAAAAAAAAAAATTTACCTCTTTGCTAAGTCTCACAGGATCCCATGTGATCCACATAATCTCCCTCTCTCCTCCTCACTCTCCCTGTTCCAGGCACAGCAGCCTCCTCCACGTCCTCAACTTGCTCTGCGTTCTCCCACCATGTGGCCTTTGCTTGTGCTGTTCCCTCTGCCTCGTATGCTCTTCCCCTCACTTCCTCTCTTCCTTGCTCTTGACCTAACATCTCTCTCCAGTTCAGAACTCAGTGGCTCACACCTATAATTCCAGCACTTTGGGAGGCCAAGGCGGGCAGATTGCTGGAGGTCAGGAGTTCGAGACCAGCCTGGCCAACATGGTGAAACCCTGTCTCTAATAAAAATACCAAAACTTGCCAGGCGCAGTGGCTCACGCCTGTAATCCCAGCACTTCGGGAGGCTGAGGCAGGTGGATCACCTGAGGTCAGGAGTTCAAGACCAGCCTGGCCAACATGGTGAAACTCCATCTTTAAAAAAAAAAAAAAAAAGGCGGGCGCGGTGGCTCAAGCCTGTAATCCCAGCACTTTGGGAGGCCGAGGCGGGTGGATCACGAGGTCCAGAGATCGAGACCATCCTGGTCAACATGGTGAAAACCCCGTCTCTACTAAAAAATACAAAAAACTAGCTGGGCGTGGTGGCGCGTGCCTGTAATCCCAGCTACTTAGGAGGCTGAGGCAGGAGAATTGCCTGAACCCAGGAGGCGGAGGTTGTGGTGAGCCGAGATCGCGCCATTGCACCCCAGCCTGGGTAAAAAGAGCGAACCTCCGTCTCAAAAAAAAAAAAAAAAAAAATTAGCCTGGTGTGGTGACAGGCACCTGTAATCCCAGCTACTCAGGAGGCTGAGGCAGGAAAATCGCTTGAACCCAGGAGGCGGAGGTTGCGGTGAGCCAAGATCGCGCCATTGCACTCCAGTCTGGGCAACAAAAGCAAAACTTCGCCTCAAAAAAACAAAACCAAAAACAACCCAAAGGTGTAACTGGGGAGTGAAGCAGATTTTCCACACCTGAGTCAGGGACCTGCAGTTTTTCACCAAGTCAAACCCCTGCGGCTGGAAGGAATGGCAGGCACAAGAAAAGCTACAACGGTAGGGCCAGGGAGTCACCGGAGCATCCACCTTAGGGCAATGGCGGTCTGCAGGAATTGTAGTTTTACTGCAATTCTTGCTGTCCACCTGGCTGGACAGCAGGATACGGCCACTCACCGGACTCTCAGTCGCAGGGGGCTCCTCCTTGTTGGGCACCCCTCGCTCCAGGGGGACAGCCAGCACAGCGCGAAGCAGGAGCAGCAGCAGCGGTGGCAACAGAAGGAGGGTTCCTCGAGGCCCAGAGGGAGGCATGGCGGCGTGCTCTGTGGGGGATGGAGAGGTGGATAACGCATAATGTCTGTCCCAAGCCTCTTCCTTCCCTGGAACCCGGAGTTCGTGCTCCCAGCGCCGCCCACACTTCCAAGAATCAAGACACAATCATTTCGCTACCCAGGCCCCAGGATTCCAGGCCTCCAGCCTTCCCTTCCTCCGACACAGGAGTCCGGCCCCTCAGACCCAGGAGTCCCGGCTCCCAACACGCTCCTTCCTCCCTCACACTCAGGAATCCAGGATCTCGGCCTCCTCCTCCCCTAGACCCAAGAGTCCAGGGTCCCAGCCTCCGCTTTTCCCAGGACCTAAAGTACTGGCACCCAGTGCATCCTCCTCCCGGACCCAGTTTTCCAGCCCTCTGGCCCCCATCCTCTCTAGGACCCAAGAGTCTGGAACCCTGGCCTCTCACCTCTCCTTCACCGCAGAGGGCGTTTTCCAGGACCGGCAAGGACCTCCGGTGCGTTCTTGGTGACTTCCCCCTTGGGCCACGCCCACTTTCCAACAGAAGCCCCGCCCCAGAGAGGTCTGATTGGTCTATGCTGGCTCCATACCTTTCATCAAGGCCTTGCGGCCCCGCCCCTTACCGAAGTCGCTCGCATTTTCGTGAAAGCTCGCCTCCTTTCTCGGAATCCCAGCCTCTTGACGCCACGTTTCCTGCCCATGCGAAAACAGAGAGGAGGCGTTCAACTCCCTGCCGGCCGGGGGAAAAATAACTTCCGCCGGCATCGTGGCCCATTCGCCTCACGGGAGCTGTAGTTTTTCTATGCATTTTCGCCCCACGAAGTGCCTGCAAGTTAAGAGTAGTAGCAATTGCTGGCCGGGCGCGGTAGCTCACGCCTGTAAGGGCGGATCACCTGAAGTCAGGAGCTCAAGACCAGCCTGACTAACATGGTGAAACCCTGCCTCAAAAAAAAAAAAAAAAAAAAAAAAAAAGAGTAGTAGCAATTGCATAGCTTTCCTTATGAATTTCTTTCTTTCTTTTTTTTTTTCTTTTTTTTTTTTTTGAGACAGAGTTTCGCTCTTGTTACCCAGGCTGGAGTGCAATGGCGCGATCTCGGCTCACCGCAACCTCCGCCTCCTGGGTTCAGGCAATTCTCCTGCCTCAGCCTCCTGAGTAGCTGGGATTACAGGCACGCGCCACCATGCCCAGCTAATGTTTTGTATTTTAGTAGAGACGGGTTTCACTTTGTTGACCTAGGATGGTCTCGATTTCTCGACCTCGTGATCCACCCGCCTCGGCCTCCCAAAGTGCTGGGATTACAGGCTTGAGCCACCGTGCCTGGCATCACAATTTTTTTTTAAAGAGATGGATGTCAGGCCGGGCTCAGTGACTCAGCGGGTAGTTCCAGCACTTTGGTAGGCCGAGGCAGGGGGATCACCCCCGCCACGGGGAGAAGGGTTCAAGACCAGCTTGGCCAACATGATGTAACCCCGTCTCTACTAAAAATACAAAAGTTAGCTGGGCGTGGTGGCGCATGCCTGTAACACCAGCTACTAGGGAGGCTGAGGCAGAAGATTCGCTTGAACGCGGGAGGCGGAAGTTGCAGTGGGCCAAGATCACACCACTGCACTTCAGCCTGGGCGATGTCTCCCTGTGTTGCTGGTCTGGATCTCCTGGGCTCAAGCAATTTTCCCCCCCGCCTCTCTGCCTCCCAAAATGTTGGGATTACAGGCGTGAGCCACTGCACCCAGCCTTTTATAAGTTTCTTATAAGCGATATGTGTATAGTGAGGCCATGAGGTCTCTGTCTCTTTAAGGAACATCCACACATCATTCGTGTTCAGAACCCCCGGGTCAGGGTTGCCTGGCTGCATCGGTGACCGAGCTCATTACTTTGTTGGAAGTGGAGAGTGGAGAGTCAGAAGGGAGTCGACCAGATCAGGTCCTAGGGGGAATCCTCGAATCCTCCCTCTCTCTGAGTCCTTTTTCTTCTCCTCCCTACTTCCAAGATATCCCGGGATTAGGTTCCCAGCTTCCAAAGAGAGGATCAGGTATGTTTAGAGGTATGCCAAAGAGGCAAGGTACCGCGACGTCAGTGTGAGCAGCCTCTCCAGGCATCTGTTGGGGGAGAACGAGTCTCTGGGATCCCAAGCAGGTGGATGGTGGAGTTCTAGACTACCAGGGGCTGGGTGTTTGAGGCACACATTCCTTAGTGCCGATGCTGGGTGCTGGAGAGTTAGCTATTTGGGAAGAGAGAAGAGAACTTGTGGACCCCTGTGGGCACCTGGAAACAGGCAACTGGATCCCGACAGGAGTGGGTGTCGGGATTCCGGCTTCCTGGGTCCAGGAGTAAATTTAAAGGTAAGGATCAGGCCGAGCGCGGTGGCTTGCGCCTGTAATACCAACACTTTGGGAGGCCGAGGCGGGCAGATCACGAGGTCAGGAGATCAAGACCATCCTGGCTGATATGGTGAAACCCCATCTCTACTAAAAATACAAAAATTAGGTGGGCATTGTGGCACCTGCCTATAATCCCAAGGGACTCCGGAGGCTGAGGCAGGAGTATCGCTTGAACCAGAGAGTCAGAGGTTGCAGTGAGCAAGATCGCGCCACTGAACTCCAGCCTGGCAACAGAGTAAGACTCCAACTAAAAAAAAAAAAAAAAAAAAAAAAAAAAAAATTAGCCAGGCCTGGTAGTGCACACCCGTAGTCCCAGCTACCCCGGAGGTTGAGGCAGAAGAATTGCTTGAACCCAGGAGGTGGAGGCTGCAGTGGCCCGAGATGGTGCCTCTACACTGCAGCCAGGGCAATGGAGGGAGACTCAGCCATCTCAATAAATAAATAAAGTTAGCTAAGGATTCAGTGTTGGTGGGCAGGATCCATTGGGATGTTGGTTCTGATCCTGACTCCTCATTCTTGCTTCTGCAGAATGTCTCAGGAAAATGACACTTGGAGGAGAGAGTGAGTAGGGAAACAGATGGGTAGGGATGGAGGTGGAAGGGACTGGGGACCCCAGCCCTCAGCTCTGGGCTCATAACCATGTTGGCAGGTTCAGTACCATCAGCCTTGCAGGAAGGGGCTGGGGACCTGGACTCCTGTGTCCTAAAGGGAGGGGGCTAGGGTGCAGACTTCTGGGTCTGAAAGAGAAGGGGTTGGGGACCCCAGACTCCTGAGTCCTGAGACAGGAGGGGCCTGGGATCTCTGGGTCCTGTCTTCTGAGGGCCAATGCCAGGAGAAAGGGCTCCATAACTGATAGAGGAGGCTCAGATTCTGCACCTTCTGTGACCTCACCAGGGCCCAGAACCCCAGCTGGGCAAGGGGCAGGTTGGGGGAGGGAGGGGCTCTTGAGCAACTGAGGTTCCCTGTGAACTGTCACCATGAGCCTGCGTCTCTCTCAGCATCCTGCGGCATGAGCTGGCTGCTGTGAGGCTGCAGAAGCTGGAACAGCAGGTATTGTGTCCAGGAATCTCACCACTCCCACTCTTCCACTCTCCAGGGGCCCCTCCACCAGATCCCCGCCCGTATTGCCTGTCTCTCATCCTGGAGTTTTCCCATTGAGAAATGAGAAAATAGCAATTTGGGGCCCAGGGCGGTGGCTTACGGCTGTAATCACAGCACTTTGGGAGCCCGAGGTGTGCGGATCAGTTGATGTCAAGAGTTCGAGACCAGCCTGGCCAACATTGAGAAACCCTGTCTCTCTCTACTAATAATACAAAAAAAAAAAAAAAAAAAAAAAAAATTAGCCTGGTGTGGTGGCGGGTGCCCGTAACCCCAGCTACTCGGGAGGCTGAGGGAGGAGATGTAATCTCAGCTACTTCCGAGGCTGAGGGAGGAGTTTGAACTTGGGAGGTGGAAGCTGCAGTGAGCAGAGATCGCTGGCACTGCACTCCAGCCTGGGCGACAGAATGAGACTCTGTCTCAAATTAAAACAAAACAAAACAAAAAAACGAAAGATAGAAAAGAAAATAGGAATTAGGGATCCTAAAGAAGCAAACAAACCCTTGTGATTAATTTCTAAGGACAGTTCTTCTAGAGGGCAGGAGTCCTGGGTCCTGGGGGAGGAGGGGCAGCGTGCCAGGACTCGGATCTCAGTCCAAGCGGGGAGTGAGGGAGCAGCAGATGACGGGCTGAAGACCTGGACACCCGGGCCCCAGTGGAGTTAGGGGTTCACTAACTCTCGCGCCGATGCGAGCCCTTGCCCCAGGCCCCACCTCACTCCAGTCTTCCCATCTGGTCCCGGATCTCGACGCCCACCTCTCGCATTTCCCCAGCAGCGGCTGTTTGAAAAGAAGCAGCGACAGCAGCGACAGAAGCGCCAGGAGCTCCTTATGATTCGAGCCAATCCTGATGCTTCCCTGCGGCATTGTCGCCCGTGTCTGCGGGAAGAACGCCTTTTAGGTGACAGAGGTGACCAAAGGCTCCTAGGGCTCCGCCTAGGGGCGTTCGTCTGGAGGGGAAGGGCCTGTGGGAGTCCGTGGGCGGGACCTAGTGGAAGAAGGGTGGAGCCTAGTGGAGAGGGGTGGGCCTTGATCCAGCAGAGCTTTAGAACAGGGATTGCGGCGGCCTCGCGGCAGGGCCTGTGAGGGAGGGGTTCGGGGCGGGGCTAGAGAGCGCAGGGGCGGGGCATGGCCGGTGAACGGGGCAAGAGAATGTGATGATTGGGCTTGGCAGAGCTCGGGGGTGGAGCCTGTCGGAGCCGGGACCCCACCCCCCACCCCAACCAAGGTGTTGCGGGGGCGGGGCCTAGGGGTTCCGGGGTGGGGCGTGGTCTCATTGCAAGAGCCGGGCACGAGATCGTTATTCACCTGCGGAGTCCGCAACAATCCAGCGGCAGGGCTGTGCTTGTTTGAGCCTTAGGATGCAGTTTGAGATCTGGGTGAGTCTCAGGGTTTGGGTGGTCCGCGAATCGGGGGTGACTTTTTTTTTTTTTTTTTTTTGAGGCGGAGTTTAGCTCTTGTTACCCAGGGTGGAGTGCAATGGTGCGATCTCGGCTCACAGCAACCTCTGCCTCCTGGGTTCAGGCGATTCTCCTGCCTCAGCCTCCTGAGTAGCTGAGATTACAGGCACACGCCGCCATGCCCAGCTAATTTTTTTCTTTTTGTATTTTTAGTAGCGACGGGGTTTCACCATGTTGACCAAGATGGTCTCGATCTCTTGACCTCGTGATCCACCCGCCTCGGCCTCCCAAAGTGCCGGGATTACAGGCTTGAGCCACCGCGCCCGGCCCTCTTTTTCTTTGTGAGACGGAGTTTCACTCTCGTTGTCCAGGCTGGAGTGCAATGGCGCGATGTCGGCTCACTGCAACCTCTGCCTCCCAGGTTCAAGCGATTCTCGTGCCTCATCCTGCCAACTAGCTGGGATTACAGGCATGCGCCAACACGCCCAGTTAATTTTGTATTTTCAGTAGAGACAAGGTTTCACCATGTTGGTCAGGCTGGTCTCGAACTCCCCACCTCAGGTGATCCGCCCGCCTCGGCCTCCCGAAGTGCTGGGATTACAGACGTGAGCCACTTGGATCTTGGCTGAGGACTGGAATTTGTAGATCATTTTTGTGGGTTCGCTGCACCTTCTCTCAGGCCTTGGGAACCCTTTCTTCTGGAAGAATTTGTCAGAGGCACACCTGCTCTCTGGCATCCACAGTGCCATGGGCACTGTGAGCCGTGGTGGAGACAGCAGCGGCCAGAGCGGCCCGCTGACACCATGGACAGAAGCAGGTATTCGCGAGCTCTTGGACCGCCTAGACCCCAGAACTTCGCCCCACTGGAACCCAGGAGTCTGGGGCCTCACTCTATCTGTCCAAAGCACTCAGGAGCTCTGGACCGCACCCCTTCCTTCCTCATACCAAGGAGTTCAGGTCCTGAGTCGCCGCCTTCTCCAGCACGCAGGGATCCAAGCCTCCCCTCCTTCCTTACTCAGTGTTCTAGAATCTTGGTCTCCAATCCCCTTCCTTATTCTTGCTCCCAGACAGTTCCGATTCAGAATTGGAGGAAGTCTCCTTGGAGAATGGTTCCATCTCTCCCCTACTTTTTATACCGACTCCAAGAATCCCACGAAGGTGTTGGCAACCCGGTCAACGTCCTGGTAATTTAGGGGACATTGGGGTGAAACGTGAGATCCCTTGGTTCATGCAGCAAATCTCCCCCTTTCTTAGGTAGCAGCTTCATTGAGGTATAATTCACATACCATACAAGTCACCCATTTAATGTTTTCAATTCCGGCGGGGCGCGGTGACTCAGACTGTAATCTTCGCACTTTGGGAGACCAAGGTGGGTGGATCATGAGGTCAGGAGTTCGAGATCAGCCTGACCAACATGGTGAAACCCCGTCTCTACTAAAAATACAAAAAATAGTTGAGAGTGGTGGCACGTGCCCGTAGTCCTAGCTACTTGGGAGGCTGAGGCAGGAGAATTGCTTGAACCCGGGAGGCAGAGGTTGCAGTGAGCCGAGATTGCACCACTGCACTCCAGCCTGAAGACAGAGTGAGACTCCGTCTCAAAATAAATAAATAAAGTTTTCAATTCCATGGTTTCTAGTATATGGTCGCCAGGGGATTGGTTCCGGGAACCCCACAGATACCAAGATCCCCAGAGGACCAAGTCCCTTATATAAAATGGAGTAAAATTTGTATATAAACTATGAATATCCTCCCATATACTGTAAGTCATCTCTAGATAACTTATAATGCCTAATACAGTATAAATGCAGTGTAAATAGCTTTTTGGTTTCTTTTTCAGAGGGAGTCTCACTTTGTTCCCCAGGCTGGAGTGTACTGGCACTATCTCAGCTCACTGTAACCTCCACCTCCTGGGTTCAGGAGATTCTCCTGCCTCGGCCTCCCGAGTAGCTGGGACTACAGAAGCACACCACCACACCCGGCTAATTTTTGTATTTTTAGTAGAGACGGGGATTCACCATG